GAAATCAAGGTCAAAACTCATTTCTCATTATGGGAAAAAAAAGATCGAACTCACAGAAACAGAGTAGAATGGTGGTTACCAGGGGTCAGGGTTGGGGGAAATGGGGAGATGTTAGTCAAAAGGTACAAACTTTCAGTTATAAGATGAATAAATTCTGGAGACCTAATATACAGCATGGTAACTATAGTTACCATAACAATGGCTGATAAGCTCATTTGGTAGAGCATGGTGCTGATAACACCAAGGTCAAAGGTTTCTATTCCCCTAATGGCTAGCTGCAAAAAAAAAAAAAAAATGTATTGTGTGCTTGAAATTTGCCAAGACAGTAGATCTTAAGTTTTCTCCCCCCCCCACCACACACGTAACTATGCGAGGTGATGGATATGTTAATGAGCTTGCTTGCAGTAATCATTTTACATTGTATATCAAAACAGCATGTATACCTTAAATATATCCAAATTTTATTTGTCAATTATACCTCAATAAAGCTGGGAAGACATAAAGTTAAAGAAAAAAAAGTATCCCAACACTTCACAAGGCCCCTCTCCTTTGGTTATTTATTTTCTCATTTTCTCTGCTCCTAGACCTACATCTGGCAGGGCTCTTTTTATTCGTTTCGCTGGGGTAAAGGGGTGATATAAACAGGCTTTGGCCTAGGCGGATCTCAGGGAAGCCATCCTCCATAGGACGGCTTCTAGGACTGAAAGCTCTCACAGCTTTCCGTATTCTTTCTTTGTAATACTCCTCTTATTTTTTAATTACATATTTGTACTTTGATGGTTTGCATTTCCTTCTAGACTGTAAGCTCCTTGAAGCTGGGATCCCATTTGTTTTATCCTCTATGCTACTTCATGTGTTTACCAGTACCTGGTACACAGAAGATGATTAATAAATATTAGTAGATAAATAACTGAAATAGTTTTGATCTGTATCCCAGATCTATCCCATATCAGAGGTATGAACTAAAACAAGATTCTTAACTGAGCCTGTTTCCCTCTCAGTAAAATGTGACTAATCGTATCTACTTTAACAGCTGTTTTTGAAGATTTAAATGAAGCAAACCATGTGAAAGTACCTAGGTGAGTCATTTGCACATAAATGGTCCATTGGAAGTATTTTGGGATGAGCTAATGAATGTAAGAATTCATCCTAACTAGCAGAGATCTTACGAAGATTTAGAGCTGGTAAAGCTTATGTTTTTCTTCCTTCATCTCAGAGAAAAATACATGTCCTCACTAACTCCTAAAGAGAGGGACAATGTTTTATAGTTCTCTGTAACCTTGCAGCCTGTTTAATCGATGGTTACCATCCGTCATGTGACTTTTTTTTTTTTTTTTTTTTTTTTTTTTTTTTTTTTTTT